TAATTGAGTTATTGTTTTGTTGGACTTATTCAGTGCTATCCCTGTATAGGTATTTGACAAACTCCGGCTTCTGGTTCTCCTTCAGGAACTTCTGCAGATAAGTACAGCTGATCAACATTTGCAGCTTATTTTTCACCACGTATTTAAACGCCTCCTAACACACCATACAATATAATCATATCAATTACTTATCAACATAATTAACAATTGAATTAATATATCATTGTTTAGTCTATTACTGATCGTAAGTTTGGGATCAGTTCACATGCAATATATCAATAAATAATGTATTCAAGTTGTCATCAATAAACAGATGATATCATACCTCAGCCAACAATCCAGCGATTCCTTTGCCTCTCAACTCTTTGGGCACTTCTGTTCAAATCAATTGATAATCAAATCATTAATAAATGACAGAATATATGAATCAATGAGTAGACGGTATACCCGTGTGGTAGAGATCCAGTACTCCAGCGCTGGTCTGCTTGTAGTCGAGCACTGCCTTCGCTGAAGACATCAACAAACAAGTGATTAAAAGGTGTGAATGTAATCATCACCGGAAGTGATGGTCAATGAATACCTTTCCCCAACTCGATGTAGAACTGCTTCTTCTGGACGTTGTGTTTGACCTGAAGATCAGTGACTGAACTGAATTGAAACGAACTCATTGTCCATAAACTGGTCACTCGTTTGTCAGCCAATAGTGTCCTTCGATGACATTGTGTCGCCTTCTCGTGGCTTTGGATCAAATGTGTGGCAAATCGACGGATAATCGACATCTCGTTTGCGACACAAATGGTGTGAAAATGAATGGTTTGAATGGTTTCTGTCTTTTCACACAATTATCGCATCGAATGTCAAATGAGTGCTATTTTTGTCAACACTTTTCCTAACGTTTGATTCATTCAAAACATTAGGCAATCATTGAATACTTGTAAACTTTAATGCATTTCTCGCGCAAAACGCGAATTCAATGCAATTTGATTACAACTTTGAAATGTTATGCACTTTACATGTTATTGCTATTCATTCACACCTTTGCCATTCATTTACAGCTATACTGTTATTCTGTACACTATTTAGTGATTAGACAATTAATTTCATATTCATATCAAATCAAGCCTTAATCTATGAAATGATATTTTGAGGCAATTTGTATGCAATGATTATAATAGTATAGGAATCTAATGGTCGTTAGAAATGTTGAATAACTATTAATATTGTATTAAAATGAATGCATTGAATGACTACCAAATTATATTACATTATATTTTGCGTATAATTCATAGATTGAAACTTTAATTGTGATGAAGGGATGATGTGATAGGATGTGGTGTTGGGATAGGGTTTCAGTCATTTCTCAATCTTCAGTACAAAATTAATGTTTGACTAAATTATAAGCTATGGTTTGATATAAGATTCAGTTATATAGTGAACAATGGGTGAAACTGTAGGCAAAGCTGGATATGCCGTACAAGAGATCATAAACTCTATCCTTGATTTTTCTTCATTTCGTTTTTTATTTGGATTTTAATAGTTTTTTATTGAATGCGTGCATAAAATAATTGTATTTTCACTCAACTCTTACATTAT